GGGGAAGAGAAGGGGGCAGGAGGGGAGCATGTGGGGAGCCCGAGAGGGCAGGTGGACTCACTTCTGCAGGGTCTGGAAGCCATGCTCTTTGAACTGCAGCTCCTGCTGGAGGTGAACCATCTCCCTCTTCAGCTTGTTGACCTGGATGATGGAAGACCACACACGGGGCTAGGTCAGAGGCCATGTGGAGCTGCAAGCTGCTTCTCCCTGAGGGGAGCCCAGAGGCCCCCCTTCCCTACCTGCCACCCCTATATAATGACTCAGGTCAAAAACCCTTGGGTCACCGTGGTCACAATACCCCAGTGCTGCCTTGGTCTCTGCAGCTGCCCATTCAGTCGGCATCCCAGCCTGGTTGCCCTGCGGGTCATCCACAGCCAGCCCTCGCTCCAGGGAAATAGCAAGTGGACAGGAGCTGGCTGATGGGACAGGGCCTGGCCTTCCCCCTGCCCGGCTGGGTAACCTGTCTCAAGCACCGCGCCTCTCTGAGCCTCCCTTTCCTGTTCTGGTGGATGATGGCAATTTCCAGAGCCGAGAGTTACTGAAAGCAGGTCCTGGGCATGGGAGTGCTGTGCATGGATGCAAAAAGAAATGCAATAACTTCAGGGCGAGACTTGGCCCGGGAGCCAGATCCGGCCAGTTTCAAATACAATTTACATTCAATATTATTTTGTATTAGTTTCAGGTGTGCAGCATAGTGGATCATATACCTACAAATTGTTCTCCCTGATAGACCACCTGATACCATACATGGTTATTTTGCAGTGTTATTAAGTTTTAAAAAATTAGTTGCTAATAATTAAATATTGAGAAATTTCACATACCAAGCCTAGATATAGAGTTCTCTGAAAATACTAGAAGATCTGCCAACACCGAGCCCACATTCCTGCATGGCCACGGTAGGCTAGAGCTGAAATTCAACTACCCTGGTAGAAAGGGCTCACCTCTCTTTTTATGTTTTCTTACAGGCTCTGAGTTTGTAGAACCTATCTGAAACTGAATTAAACCAGTGTTCAAAATACTGGCTTTACCTAAAGCACCATGCAGGGCCTCAGTCTCCTCATCAGTAAAAGGTACCACGAAGTAGTTAAATAGGATCACGTAGGGCTAGCAGTAGCTAAGATAGCGCACTACACCACGAACTCTGGAGTACACCCGCATCCCTGTGGCCCTGAGCAAGATAATGTCCCCCCTACGCCTCTGCTTGGTCATCTTTAAATGCAGATCTTGACAGGAGCTACTGCACGGGGCTGTCATGAGGACATGGGGAATTACACATGAAGCTCTCAGCACGCGCCTTGCATACAGGGAGTGCTAGCGACAGGGTGGCTGCTGTTACCACTACCGTTACTATGACGACAACCTACTGCTGCTACTACTGTTACTATTCAGGGCCTGTGAGTCAGCACTGGCTGCCCCTGCCTGGTCGGAGCATCCACTCTGTCTCACAGGTGGGCTAGTAATCTAAGGGTGCCTCCGTGACCCCCAACAACAGCACAGACCAAGAGGCCCTACCCGGGATTTTGCAGTGGCAATTTCAGCTTTCAGGATCTCAGGGTCATACTTAGAGCTGGATGACGAACCGGAGATCACTGCAATGAAAAAGAAGAAAAAAAAAAAGGTTCTGTAGAAGAAACACACTTTGAAAAAATTGGCTTATTTGGCCATCTAGATAAACCCAGAAAGGAATGAGTATTTGTGAATAACGTAAATGTCCAACCATGTGGGGTATGTTAAATAAATATGGTACATGCATGAAATGGGGACTATACAATGTATGTGATTTAAAATGATGGAGCAGAGACAATAGTGCGGTAGGCCAGGGGGGTGGGGCATGGGGGTTGATCAAAAGGAGGACCCCGCCACCACCACCAGCAGCAGCAGCCCTGGGAACTTGTGAAAAATGCAAATCCTAAGAAGCCAGAAACACCAGTCAAAAAGAATATATGCACTCCTATGTTCATAGCAGCTAAGATCTGGAAACAGCCCAAGTGCCCATGAGTAGATGAATGGATTAAAAAGCTGTGTTACATTTACACAATACGATACTATACAGTTGTAAAAAAGAAGGATCTCTGACCCTTTGAGACAGCATGGAGAAATCTGGAGAGTATCATGCTAAGCGAAATAAGCCAGTCAGAGAAAGACAAGTATCACATGATCTCACTTACATGCGGAATCTAATGAACAAAATAAACAGTTGAACAAAAAAGATCCAGAGACATTGAAGTTTGCAACAGATTGATGTATTTCAGATGGAAGGGAGTTGTGAGAACAGATTAACCAATGAACTATATGCATACATGTGTAGCCCATGGACAGACAATAGTGTGGAGAAAGCCTGGGAAGGGGGTGGAAATGGGTGGGGGGGGGGGGGGGGGGCGGACATCTGTAATCATTCAACAATAAAGATAAATTTAAATAAATAAATAAAATGATGGAGCAGAAGGATACAGAACAAGGAAAAATGTCTAAAATGTACTGTTACGTAAAAACAATAGTTTATAAAAAACTATAAAAAAATAACAAATTAGGAAAAAATACACAGTAAACAAATACACACATGCTACATCTAGAAAGACCAGAAAGAAATACACCAAAAAGTAACTAAGCACGCAATTATAAAAGAGGCTGTCAGCTTCCCCTTTGTGTTTGTGTCCCCTCACTAACCCTCCAACAAAAAGGATTTTATATTTCAACAGGACCTTAGAGACCAGCTTTCAAGTCTCCAAAGTAGGTTTACAGTTGTTCCTATGAAAAATAATGTAATCATTAATAAATAATAATAATACAAGAGCCCTGGCCACTGTGGCTCAGTTGGTTGAGCCTAGTCCCACTGGTTTGATTCCCGGAGCTCACGGTTCCAGAAGGTCGCGGTTTGATTCCCGGTCAGGGCACATGCCCAGGTTGGGGGTTCAATCCCCAATAGGGTACGTGCAGGAGGCATCAAATAGATATTTCTCTCTTCCTCTCCCTTTCCTTTCTCTAAAATCAATAAAAACATATATTTTTAAAAAATAAGAAGCCCAGCTGCGTGGCTCAGTGGTTGAGCATCAACCTATGAACCTGGAGATCACAGTTCAATTCCAGTCGGGGCACATGCCCATGTTGCGGCTTGATTCCCAGTATGGGGTGTCAGGAGGCAGCTGATTGATGATTCTCTCTCATCATTGATGTTTCTATCTCCCTGTCCCTCTCCCTTCGTCTCTGAAATCAATAAAAAATGTACTTAATTTACAAACAAAACAAAAAATAAATATAATAAAAATAATAATACAAGAACTGTTTCATGTACTCACAAATATAAATCTACTTTTTTGCCCCATCCTGTATATGAACACAGTTTAATGGTCCAACACAGTGCAGGTTTTGCTATATATAAACACATATATATGTCTATAAATATATATATGCACTTCATAGAACCCTATCCCCATATCTCACTCCCTAAAAGAGAACCATTTAAACGTGTTTAGCCAGTTTCTTGTGTTTAACAATATGTGTGTTTTGCTGCTTCTAGATTTTTTCAGTGTTAGGCATTATTTTTAAACTTGTCTCTCTGGAGCAGTGGTTCTCAACCTTCTGGCCCTTTAAATACAGTTCCTCATGTTGTGACCCAACCATAAAATTATTTTCGTTGCTACTTCATAACTGTAATGTTGCTACTGTTATGAATCGTCATGTAAGTATCTGATATGCAGGATGGTCTTAGGCGACCCCTGTGAAAGGGTCGTTTGACCGCCAAAGG